AGGAACTGAAGACACAAAGGTGATGTCCAAGTGATCCTGAACTCCAAACGTTTTCCAGGGTCCTGGGCATCACTGTTCTATGTTCCCTGCCCTATATACAGAGTAGGGCAGGGTCTGAACCTGTGCATTGCAGTTGTTTTCTGTCCCTGGGTTTCATGAGTGTGATGCTCACCAGCATTTCCCTTGTGCTGGCAAGTCCATGGTGACTTCCAGACAGGATTCCAGCCGTGCCAGGCTTTACCCATGGGGCTCTTTCGGTTGCCATGGCCAAATCTCAGCAGCAGCAATAGATGGTGGAAGGGAGCAGCCTCGGGTAACCCAGGGCATCGCCTGCCTTGGAAGCCGAGTCCATTGCTCCCTGCTGATGCAGGGGCATGAAGGCTGTGAATGAAGTGATGGGAGCAGATGCCAGGGTCTGCCATGGATTCCTTCCCAAGGCCTGGCCCTGCAGAGAGTTCTGTGGATTCAGGAGCTGGAGACCCTGTCCTTGAGCTGCTGGCAAGGACTCTCTTTGCTGGGCCGTGTTCTTTGCCCTGCCACAGTGAATCCTTGTCCTTAACGCCTTTAAGGATGGGGAGGGATTTGCTGCTTTTACTTGGAAGTGATGGAGCCCAGGATGCTGTTCTTGAGCATCCTCCCCCTTTTACAGCCGAGTTACCTCCTTTGGGTCATTCCTCCCCTTTTCTCCCTTTCTCTTGGATGGAGCTTGCTTAATCCCAGCCTGCTAAATCCCGACGCACTGTCCTGTGCCCAGTGCAATTTGAGGCCGGAATTCCCTTCTCCAGCTCTTGACCCCTGCATGCGAAAGCTGCGCTTGCAGAGGCCCTGCTGTTCGGAGGGGGACTCTTGCCATCTAGTGGGAGGGGATGGTAAGCCTCCAGGCCCTCTGCTATCCCTTAGGATAAGAAGACAACACACAGCTCTCCCTGCACATGTGGGATGAGCTCTCGCTGCTTTCCCAGTTGGAGAAGCTGCATTTCTCAAACGCTTTTCCTTGCTGGAATTCTCCTTTTTTTCCCCACTTTTTAGGGGCAAAACTTTCCTCATGCCCTTTTATACTCGTGTCCTGGATGGATGCGTGGGGACGTGTCCGGGAGCGGGATGCATGGGAAGGATGCTGGCGCGCGCTGCTCGGACACTGCCGCCTGCATTGTGGGGGGAAGCTGCCTTTCAGCAGCTGGCTCCTTGAACCCGTGCTTGGATCCCAGTCACTGCCTTTACAGACAGGGAATGACAAGTGCTTGCAAAGGGCTCTGCTCGCGTCTTCCTTGGCCGGGGAAGACCGGAAACTCACGTTCCAGTTGGGACATCTCAGTGCAAACCGGCCTCTCCTCACCCCTTTTGTGAAAGGTTAAAGAGAGAAACCCAAGGAAGATGGATGCGCTGTCCTTGGGGACGTGCTGCTCCGTGTCCGGGCTGAGGAGGAGCAGCTGCTCTCATGGACATGGAGACATCCTCCCATAGACACGGATCTGCTGCGGGTGTTGCTCGGGGCTCCAGGCTCGCACCCATTGTGGTGCATGGGCCTTCCACTCGCTCAGAGGCTGCTGTAGTCAATGGGCGTTGAGGATGCGCTGCATCAAACGGAGCCCACGTCTCCCATGAGGATGATGTGTTTGGATGGGCTCTTTGGTGGGAGCCTGGGCTGCAGCAGAGAGCTTGGGATGCTTTTGTAGAGCTGTGCCTTGGTGGGCTCATTATGGGGGCTGCGGAGCATGGAGAATGAAGCTGCTGATGGGAAGTGAGCCTGAGGCGGTCGTTGTGTGCGTTGCATTGACCCTTGGACTGGAACACAGGCAGAGAAGGGGAGAGCTCAAAGAACTGAGGTTATTTCCTATGCAAAATGAACCTCCTTTTCCCACCTTTCCTGGCTGCACAAGAGCTGTGTTGTGCACGGGGCTCTCCCTGAATAGAACCAGCACAGCTTCACAGCCCTTTTAACAGCAACTTGTAGCTACAGACCAGCAGGCGATGGGCAGTTCTATCACTTCCAAACTCCTGATCATGGAAATTCCAGTGGGATTAAACCTCTCAACTGGTTTAATGCCCTTGAGGGAAGCCTGGGCCTGCCCCAGAGCTGCTGGTGGGAGCTCAAAGCAGGGCTCCAGCTCTTCACATCCACGTTGGTGTCAGAGCTGCCATGTGTCAGTAACACCCCTAATGGAGCTCGAGTCCTTAGTTCTTTATCACCGAGCCCATCTCGGCACGGAGCTGAGTGTGTCTGCTCTCTGAATGGGCAAGGCCAAGTTGCCCTGTGGCTCCAGGGAGTCTAGGGTGTGAAAAGCCCCATTTGGGGAGGCAATGAGCCTTCCCCTTTCAAAGGAGCGGAGGATTGGAGAGCAGAGATTACAGCACCTAATAGCGCGTACCTAATCTTCGGGAGCATGGACCATGACTGTGACTCCTTGGGCCAAACCAGCCTTGACTTGTCCATGGGGCAAGGTGTGGCCTTCAGGCTGGTGCAGAGAACATGCAGGCAAGGGCGGTGGGGCTGAAATGGTGACTTGGCACGGCCAAGGGGTAGATCCAGCCAGAGCTGGGACTTGTACATCACTATCAGCTCAGTGTGGAATCGCTGCATGCAGGGAATGGGAGCCCAAAAAGCAGTGAGGGGGCAGTTAAAGAGGTTGGGAGCTGCTGGGTTGCCTGTTTGCATGATCAGATGATGCCCATCCACTTGGAGCACTTTTCGCTGTAGATTCCACGCTTTTGAGAGGTTTTTGCTGGGTGCTTCTCCTCTGGTCGTACCCAGCTGCAGTATGAAGGGGGCAGCAAATTCCCTGGATTACCTTGGGAAGCGTTGCTGGATTCCTTGCACTTTATGCAACCAGTGAGCTCTTCATCAGCTGGAAGCCCTCATGGCATTTGCTGCTGTATCCTTACCCGACCCGGGCACCCGGCAGACATTCCTGGGGCAGGCTGTCATGTTGCTCCATGCCCTGCTCGGCAGACGCTCACACATTCCTCCCTTTGGCCAAGCTGCTTCCAGCTTCCTGCCAGGCTCCAAGAGCTCTGCTCTGTGGAGCTGCTGCTGGGACACGTTTCATCCCTGACCCCTCCAGCCAGGCTTGACCTCCCCATAGGGCTCTGCTGGGAGCTGTGGTGCCATGTGTGGTGCTTCTGGTGTGTTTCTTCTCCTTGAACAGCACGGTTGATGCTGGGGATGCTCTGCGGGAGGCTTTGCCAGCACTGGGAATGCGGTTGTCATCACTTGGTCCTCATTGTGAGCTGGTAACAGCCACTCTTGGTGGGCATCTCAGAAGCCTGCGATGTCAGTGAGTAACGAGGCCGTTCCTGTGCTGAGCCATCAGTTCTGAACTACAGCACTCCATGTGGAGTCTGAAGCAGAGAGCAAGACACTTCAATGGGCACCTTCCCATCCCCGGTGGTATCCCATCCTCTCTGGTACCATTCAGCAAAGGGCTCTGACCTCAAGTTATCCCAAGCTGCGGTACCTCCAGCCTGGCTCCCCTTCTGGTTGTGTCTTCCTTTCCTTCTGATGCCCGGCTCCATAGCACACAAAATCCCTTCCCCATAAGAGGTGGCAGCGGAGAGTGGGGAAGAGAGAGAGCAGTGCCAGGGCAGCTGGGAATGCTGCTTTTCCTGTGGCTGGGGTGGAGGAAATGGGGCCATGCTCTGGATGGGAAGCTGGCATCGCTTGGTGGGGGGAATAGTGCTTGGGAAGTGCTGAAAAGCCTGGGGCCAGCCGTGTCAGTGTAGGGTTTGTCATTGCAGGGCTGGGAATGGGGGTAAGCACCTGAGCTTTTCCAGGTAATGAATAGAACTGATTGGAGGCTCGATGTGGAATCAGGGAGGTCTAAGCTCTTGCTAGGGAAGGGCTTGCTGGGAAGTCCTTTACAAATACTCATATACTGAAATTAAGGGGCTATTCCTTTGGAAACTGGCCTTTGGGAATCCCTTTGGGAGTCCCTGCTGTGCTTCCTGCACCTCTTGACTCTCTGCTGACTGAACATAGGTTTCGCTACCCAAAGCCAGTGAGAAAAATCCATTTCCATTCTTTGGGACATGCTGATGCTTCAGTGCTGTCCAAAACCGGGCCAGAAAACCCAGTTCCAAGGTGGAACCTGTGTAATAGAGACCGGAAAGCCACTGTACTCTTGTTATCTGCATGGGTACACAGGAGACAACTGCTGTGATACACTAAAACCCACTGAAGAGGCCAGTTTTCAACCAAAGGGGGTCTGTGCCTTGAAAAGGTTGCACAAGTTGTGTCTCAATCACATCCAATTGATTTAGCTGCTGCTTGCTGTTGATAGAGAACTGTTTGAACCAGCTTCAAGTGGTGTTTCTTGGTCCCTGCTCACACCACAGATGCTCTGAACCTTCTGACAAAGCAGAGCTCAGGCTGCTTAAGCTATTACATGAAGAGCAGTTTGGTCTATTTCCTTAGTCTTTGGGACATCAGAGCATGGAGTAACTTGCTGCAGGTCTACATGGCTTGGTTTGAGCTTAAGGCTGTTTGAAGAGCTCTAAAAGCACTGTGTGGCTGCTGAAGGGTTAAGGTGGGCAATAGCTTCAATGGAGTATTGAAGAATTCGAGGTATTCAAGGGGAGATGGAAGCTGCAGACTGCGCTGTGGGAAGGGGTGTAAGCGTGAGGATGCTCTGCGCTAGGACCCTGCGCTCCTCTGGTCTCTGTGGAGTGCTCTGGGAGGCTCTGAACTGGATTGGGGTGCTCAGAACCTGTGCTCGCTGTGACTGAGCCCTGCATGGACGCAATTCCCGGTCCTTCGTCCTTCCCTGCGCCCCTGCCCCGATCCCCCCGCCCCATTTCTGCCCTGCCTGCAGCCCTTCTGCTCGGGTTACAAGGCAAGCCCATGATATCACCGCTCGCTGGGGCTGGAGGGGCCGGCTCTTGGGAGGGGTTTGCTTCCCCGGCTCCAGTGAAATTGGCCAGGAAGCAGCCGCTTCCCGCACCACATCGCTCCGGCTGCGGGAGGCTCCCAGCGCCGCGGGGACCGCTCGGCTCGGCTCGGCTCAGCCCAGCCCGGCCCGGCAGGACGAGCTCCATGCGGCAGGACCGGGCATCGCTCACCCCCGGCACAGCCCAGCGCTAACGGCAAGGTAACGGCAAGGCGGGGGTGGAGGGGGTGATGAGGGCTTGGAGCGGTTCTGACCCTCTCTTGCTCCGGGGCTGGGAGTTGGAGTTCGCCGCTTCCCTTCCCTCCCGTCGGTTGGTTCTGAAGTGGGATGCTCGGGTGGGACAGGGCTGCTCCTTCTAATGCTGGCCCCCAGGACTTGCTCTGGCAGGGGTGGGACAGCGCAGATGCTCAGTGCTGATGGCAAAGGTGTTGTGAGCAAGGTAAAGGTCTTCCCCCCTTGCTCTCAAGATGAAGTAAAAGACAGGCTGCAAACAAGCCCAAGCAATGCATGTGCTGTGATGCTGCTAAAATCAGCTTGATTCGAAGCAGAAAGCTGCAGCCCTGGGCACACGATACCGGGCACAGTTCAGGAGCAGCTGAAGCTCTCCTGTCTGCAGAGCTGCTCGTTCAGGGGAAAGGCTCCAGTGCAGCAGATGTTTCCCATTGGCAAATCAGTTTTGTCCCTGCTCTCGTTGCTTGGGATTGGCAGCCCTCAGCCTGCCAGCACCGTTCCTTGGGCTGGCTCATCACAGGGGTGCTCAGGAGGAGTCCAGGAGACTCGGAACCAGGGGACCCTTCCCCAGGCTGCTTTTATTGCCTTTTATGAGCAATGAACGCATCCAGGGGCTAAATCTGAAAGCAAATGTGCATTGCTTCACTTGAAGAAATGGATCTGGGAAGAGCCTGGGTTTGGAAGCGGTAGGAAGTGTTCAGCTGAGCCCTTGCATGAAACGTGCTGGCCATGGACCAGGCTGTTTTGGCCTGCAGAAATCACTGCATCCTTTGGAGAGCAGCACACTGCTGAACACGGATCTCATAGGTGTTATCAGTGGTGTAAGGGGCTTTGGTTGGGCACTTGCCACAAACACTGGTTCTCTGTTGTTAGACCTGGAGCTGTCTTTGAAGGAAAACACAAGCCAAGAGCCTTTTCCTTCCTAACTGATGTGTTTGTCCATCAGGGCTTCTCTAGCTTCAGCAGCAAGTGATGGCAAGCAGCATCCATCACTGAGCTATAGGTGTGTGTTTGCTGCCTGCTGTAGTTCATCCTCATCACTTGGCAAACACTGCAGCCTGTTTTCTCTTCCAGATAACACAGATTTCATTGAGTTTGGGGAGGAAATAAAAGAACCAGGTGTCTGTGTAGGTACGTTTGAGTATGAAGTAGAGGCCAGAAAGTTCTTTAGTTATTAAGTGATGTTTCTCTCTCGAGTGAGATCTTGTGGCTGGTAAAGCCATGGCAGGGTGAGAAGGCACAGTGGGACTTGGCTCTTTCTTTCTCTGCAGCATCCCAACAAACCAGAAGCAGCAAATTGCATTTGGAAGCTCCCGTGATGCTTCCCAGCAGTTGAATTTGGTCCTGGTTGCCCTTGGCCAGTCTGCAGTGATGTGAAATACCTTCCTTAAGGTAGCTCTCAGGTAGCAGGCTTTGGTGCCTGAGCAGTGGCAGCTCCCTAAAGCGACTGCGGGGCTTGGGCTTTGATGGGGCACATGGTCTTCTGAGCTCCTTATCCACCAAGGTAAATCCTGTTCCTCTACCTTATGGGTCTCTGCTATAGATTTGGGGTTATTGCCATTGCTTGGTGTGTCTGGGCCTGCTGGTGACATGTATGACTGTGTTTTAAGAGGAGGATGTGAACAAGAGGGCTCTTACATCAGGGCTGTCATCAGTGGGGATTTAACCTATGACAGCATCACCTCTAGTGCCTGTGCAGGGGAGCTGAGCCTCTTGGGACAGTGGGGAATGTACCTGAGTGAGTGGTAGCATCTCTGTTCATTGTAACAGCTTTGGGGCCCGTGTGAATTGCCCTTGATTTGCCTGGAGAGCAGTGGGAATCCTGCTCCTGTCCCATGGCTGTGCCCGAGGAATGCTCTTTGGGCAATGGGGCTTGGAGCTGGAAATGCAGCGGGAGGATTCCTGCTTGGTGCTCCCGGCTGAGAGACAGGCATGCAGCAAGGTCCAAGTGCCAATTGCCTCTTCCTCCCAATGGATGCCGAGCCACAAGGAGCATTGCTGGCTCTCCAGGCACAAAGGACTCAAATCAACCCCTCCAGTCTTCCCTTGGTTGTGTGGATAAGGATGGAAGCAGGAAAGCCGGTTCCTGGGTTGAGCTGAGCTCATCTCTTGTTTGGATCATTTGGTGGCCTTCAAAAAGGAATTCCCATTGGTAGGAACAGGTTTGGCTTTGGGGACATCAGAATCCCATTGGCTGCACCAGTGAAGCCTCTGAAGAAGATCAATATTGTCTTGCAATGAAACTGTTGTTTCCTTATAAACCTGTGTCTGTTCCCTTCCAGACTGAGCCTGAAAAGGGCTGAGTCAGCAGCCAGCAGGAGCATGCCTTAAAGCCTTCAATTACACAGTAATGCAGTGATGGAGAATCATCCTGTGGCCTCAAGCAGAGGATGGGGAGCCAGGAGACCTGGAGCATTTTCCTGGCTTTTCCACTGACTTTATTCAATGGGATTTTTCATGTTCTCTCTTGGAGGCTTTTGAATGGGGAGACCAAAATGTATACTTTTAGGATGACATCATTATTAAATCTGGAGGTTGTCAAGGAAAGGAGTGAGGGGAGGAATGAGCCTGCAATAAAGGGAATAGTCAGCCAAAACCCAACGTCCTGTGCTGCTTTATCAACCCTCTAGACCAGCTCTTGTGTGTCGGATGCGGTTGTAATGGGTCCCAAGAGCCAGAGGTGGAAGAAGCTGTTTCATAGCCCATATATCTCATCCCAGGGACTAGTTGGGGGATTTGTTCTGTTGAGACTTCCCAGTGTTTTCCCTGTTGTTCTTTGGGGCTTGTTGTTCTGACGTGATTCTGCTGCTGTTTGGCTTGCCTCCAGTGGGAAGTGGCTTGGATGGGATGGATGGATGGATTGGATGGATGGACAGAGGGATGGATAGATTGGATGGATGGACAGAGGGATGGATGGACGGATAGGATGGATGGATGCATTTATGGATGGATGGACAGAGGGATGGATGGATTGGATGGATGGATGCATTTATGGATGGATGGACAGAGGGATGGATAGATTGGATGGATGGACAGAGGGACGGACAGAGGGATGGATGGACGGACAGAGGGATGGATGGACGGATGGACACCACTGCCTCTCCCGTATTGCATCTCCCTGGTCCCTCCTGACCATCCTTGAACAGAGGCAGAAAGCCAAGAGCCCTTCTCAGTGCCACGGTGTTAGGTGGTTCCTCCGGTCACGCTGGGCCCCTGAAGCTTCCCCTCTATACCTGTGCTGCTGTTTCTTGAGCCAGTAATATCCCTGTGCTCTTATTCCACTGGATTCTGCTTTTCCTGACCTCGTGACTGAGTCTGAGCAGTTTCCCTTGAACACCTCAAGAAACGAGGCCTCTGGGTACGGGGGTTCTGTTTCGGGGGCGATGCGAGCACTGGGGAAGCTTTGTGTCCTGCTGTGTGAATGCGAGGCTGTTTGAAGCGGATGGAGACGGGACCTGGAGGAGAGGTGGGCTCTGGCTGCTGGTGCTGTGCTGCTGTCTCCTGGAGCGCTGCTCAGACCCTGCAGACAGTTCCTTTAGGATTCACTTCCACAGCTGCAGTAGGACTGGAAGGGAGATTCTGGAATGCTTTTCCAGTCCCTTCCCCTGACAAAGATGAGCTATGATGCTCGATGACCTGGGCACACAATGTGCGTCCGAGTCGTTTTCCTTGGGAAAGGTTTGGGATTGTGCTCATGCAGACTCGTTCAAATCCCTTTTTGCTGGTCCTGGACAGGGGGCTCTGGGGCAGCCTTATCGGGGCCAGGTTTTCTGCTGTAAGCTTCTGGGGAACAGAAGCAAATGTGCTGCAGTTTGGGGGGTGTTTGACCCCTTTGGCTTTGCCAAGGGTGACGATGACACCTCCTGTATTGACCAGAATCCCAATGGGCATCTCCCAGGCTGAGCTCGGTATCAGGTGAAATAACCTGGAAGGCTGCTGCATGTTCTAGGGATAGCAGAGAGCAGAATGGGAGGGTTTCAGTTTCCAGGCATCCGGGTTTGGAGCCAAGTCTTTCCCCTTCACCCTCCCCTCTGGTGGTTGCCAGGAAATAAGAGAGCTTTAAAGGGCTGGGAGCTGTTTCCCACCGCACTCTGGCATTGCTTCATTTGGAAACTATGGAATCCTCAACCCCCGTGTGCTGCTTGTCCACTGCATGCACTGAGTGAGGCTGGGGACGATGGGAGCGGGCAGACAGGGACCAGGATGTAACTCTGCATGGAATCCCTCAAATGAGTCAGTAAATGGCTGGTTCCTCCTCCCAGTGCCAAGCTTATGGAAGGACGGAGCACTTGTCTGACAAGCAAGGCCCTATCCAGACTTAGAAGCCCAAAGCTGGAGACCATTAGTCACTACTCCATTGACAGACAAGGTGAGCATAGTGTCAGTGTACAGCAGCGTGTCAATTCCCTATAGATGGAACCAGACGTGTAGCAAGAGAAATACATCCATCATCAGATTGGGAAAACAGACGCCAATAGGAATAGCAGATTGCAATACATCTCATTACCTTCTGCTTTTCCACTGTTCAAGCGATAGTTTTGGCTTCTTTCTTGAAGGAGGGATGGGAGAAAAGGGGTTCAGTTGTGTCCTGGTAGGATTTGACCCAAGGTTTGCTGGAGCCACTAAACTGTTGGGTCTGCAGAGAAATAAGGAAATCCATTGTGCTTGCAATGGGTTTCTATAGGAAAAAAGGGGTTTCCAGCTGAAATGATTTGGCAAGTTGCCCTAAGCTTGAATTGCTTTAATGGGAGGGAGTTTTCAGCTCCTCCACCCCACAGGAAGTCCTGTACTTGGCTTTGGTCATCACAGGTATCATTGGACATGGCCTATTCCTCCAGCTCTATTCCCTGCTGAAGCAAGAGCTACCAAGTCCATGTCATTACCCAAGCTTTTGTTCCCTTCCAGGCCAGGCCCGCAGCACCCCTCTGCACTGACCAGCAGCTGCTAGCAGAGGCTTTGGCCCTGAGCACTGAAGATGGGCACATCCCTGGGTTTCATCCATAACCACTGTTTCATCGTGCTGCTCCTCACCTCCTTGAGCCTTGCCCAGTACGAACACTGGCCCTACCTCCCCGGGTACCCTGAGCCGCCCCCCCAAGTGTACCAGCCCCCCCAGAGACCAGCCAACGTGCCCAAGATCCAGCTCCGGCTCGCAGGGCAGAAGAGGAAGCACAACGAGGGCAGGGTGGAGGTGTTCTACAGCGGCGAATGGGGCACCGTGTGCGACGATGACTTCTCCATCCACACCGCGCACGTGGTCTGCAGGGAGCTGGGCTATGTGGAGGCGGTCTCTTGGCTCCCCAGCTCCAAGTATGGAAAGGGAGAAGGTAAGGAGATGCTGGGGAAGCAGAGACTGGAGGTCTGCAACCCCCAGGAATTCCAGAGCTCTCCGTCTGGTTTAAGATGCGGTGATGCTTCCTACGAGCATCCCCAAGGCAGCGCCTTCTACCACGGTACTCTTCAGACAAGCAAAGCATTGGTACCCCAAAACAGGGGAATTGTTTGTTGGCTTTTGCACCCTGCAATGTAGGGGGCAAAGTGCAGGGGAGCACCATGTGCCCAGCACATTTCCATAGGGAAAACGAGCATTTTGAGAAGGGGAATCTCAGAGATGCTGCTGAGGCTTTTGCTCCTATGTTTTGGAGGTGGCACCTATTGATTTTTGTCTGTTTGACTTGGAAGTGAGTTCTGAGGGACCTGATTAAAGGTTATCTAATACATTATATGTATATGCGTGTACATGTGCATGCCTGTGTGCACACATGCTTTTGGCTGGAGGAAAAATGGCCATTGCAGTCTGGAAACTGGACCTGGCCATTTGCTTTCGAAGAGCACCCAAACCCCAGGAGGTTCCAGTCCATGGGGCTGTGTTAAAGCTTAGGCAAGGACCTGCTTTTGAGAAGCCGTGGTGGTCAAGCAAAGCTTGAGCTTTTCCTCCAAGAGCTGTGATGAGGATTGGAGACATGATGGAGAAAGAAGGCTGATGTGGTGTGGTCAGAGGTGTAAGCGAGACAAGCGGAGGGCACTGGTGGCACTGTGTGCTCCAAAGGGGCTGTCATCAGAGGAGGTCAGCACTGACTGCATCAAGGATTTGCTTCGCTCTGAGCCTACTGTTCATTACCATGCGGATAAGGGAAAGCTGTGGGGCAGAGCTGGTTCCAGTTAGGAAGCACTAGAAGTGAATCATTGCTGTTCCTTAGCTGGTTTGTTCAAGCTCGCTTTAGCAGCGCTCTCTTCCCCTGCCCCAGAGCGCAGCACCTTGCTTGCTTTCAGTGCAACCCAGGTTTACCCCTTCCATGAGGCTCAGCTCTGTTTTCTTTCCCCCTCAGGGAAGATTTGGATGGACAACGTCCACTGTAACGGGAAGGAGCCCACCCTGGCTGCATGCACTTCGAACGGCTGGGGAGTGACCGACTGCAAACACACCGAGGACGTGGGAGTGGTCTGCAGTGAAAAGAGAATCCCTGGCTTCAAGTTTGACAACTCCTTGCTTAACCAAATAGAGGTAAAGGTGCTTATGACTGCACGCTGCTGCTCCAGAGGCATCCCTGTCTGCTGCTGGACATGGCGGGTGACCCCAGCTGCACACTATGGTCAATGGTGCTCCTAGATACTGGCTGAAGATGCAGTTTTCAGCTGGTCAGACCACTATATGTGTGATAAGAATCTGAAAGCAGGGTTTGGGGGTTGGTTTTAATAGCATAAGGAATGAGAAAATAGGTTACTCCTGTTCTGCAGTCACTGTTCAACTGCAAACTTACTTATTGCATTTCTAAGAATGGATTGAGACACGATGGGTGCTGTGCTCATAGACCTTCCATCCGGGTGACTTTGTTGGTTCATAGGATTAAACAATGAGTTTCCTTCCTGTCTTTACTCCCTTTTGGTACTGGGAACAACTGGGAGGTCTCTGGCATAAGCAGGGCTGAGCAGGTAGGGTTGGGTTTGGAGGTGAATAGAGCTTACAGCCATGGCATGGAATGGGAGGATTTAGGAGAGAGATAAAGCTGTTTGTGCACAGTTTGGTTAAGCAGAGCTGAAGTAACCATGATAACTGGATGGAAATAGTTGTGGGAATGGGGGATTAGTGTGCAGGAAGTACTGAAAGGGATTGAAGAGGGGAAAACGTGGGCTGGTCACTGGGGGAACGGCTCTGGATTGCAACTGGGTTAGGCTGAGGCTGAGTGCTTGAATCACCACCCAGGATCCGTTGTATTCCTGCAGAATAAGGAGCTGGGAAGAACTTGGGGAGGAAAGTGGTGCTTTCCCTTGGGCTTTTCAGGTTGGAAAGTGTTTGTGGTGGGCCCGCTACAGCTCCCTTGTTTCAGGTGCTCTGGTGTGTGTTCAGTGTGTTCAGTGGCTGCTCATGGTTAAAAGAGCCCATCCAGTAACTACAGCCGAATCCTTTTAAGCAGACAGGGAATCCAGGATGTATCCCATCACAGCGAGGTTTCTATGGCTGAATCTTGGCTTTGCTCATGGTCTGAAACAATGGATACAGCTACCTTCATCCTTTAGACCCAAATCGCTCTGGCAGCTACAGCACAGCCACTGGTTCCCAGCATTTCCTTCTCCTTTAGGAAGTGCACTGCACGGGTGAGCAGGCACCATTCAACACTGCCATGGGAAGCTGCTGTGCGAGGGGGCAGATGTGGGATGTGAGAGCCAAAACTCCCTTCCTCGCCTTGCCCTTGCTTCGCTTGGCTCAGGAGGGAAAGGCGGCTTTCCAGAGGGATCCAGCTTGGGATCCAGCCTCTGTCAATGGCACCGTTGTTGCTCAGGGAATGAGGCGAGCTCATGGAACATCACTGATGGCTTTGGCAGGCGTGTGCTTCCCCAAAGCCACAGGGAAGCCTCGCAACAGAGGCCTGGAAGGAAAGATGCTTTCGTCTAGACGGAGGTCACTTCTCTCTTGTATTAATCATAAAGGCTTTAGAGGGTCTGCTTTTCCATGAGCTCAGCCCTGGGGTTTGACTGATGAGTTGAGCACATTGGGCAATGCAGGGCCAGCTGGTGCTGGTGCTGTGTGGGTGCTTGAGCTTCACGTATGAGAAGTAAAATGAATCAGAAGGTTGAAGCAGTTCACGGAGCAGAAGCCTGGGTCATCAATAGGAGAAATAGAGGGAAGAGAAGTCATACTCCCCATGCCCTGATAGTGCTTGGGAGCTGTGGGTGGATGAAGGCATCCACTGATGTGATCAGTAACAGGATTCACAGGGGAAGGAAAGTTGTTGCTTCTGCTTTACAAGACCCAACTGACTTTACTTGTATCCCTATAAGATCATGGGCAGCTGCAGGGCTCTTTTCCCACTGGTTGCCTTGCAGTAGGACCAAGGCTGAAGGTGATGTGCTATATGCATTTTTAGGATGGCATCGTGGATGCGCTCTTCAATCACAGCTCAATGGTGAAATTCCTTCCCCCTTTCTCAGCCTTCCTCCTCTCAATCTTTGCTTTCTCTCATTAGCAGCTGCTGTGCTGTAGTTGGAGCCAAAGCTGATGAGCAGGGTTACTCATAGGGTCACAAACCCCAAACCAGGCAGGTCAAAAGGCTTGTGTGAACGTACGCTGGAAGTCTTTGCTCTCTCCAGCCCGCCTGGGAATCCTGCACATCATACCTCCCATCCACCAGAGGAAGCAGCACTGGTTTGTAAGCTGCTGGTCCTTTAGGCTGTGGCCCAAAGCTTGCCCAAGTGATGTTTTCTCTTTGGAATGAGACCGGGGGTTGAGGGGCCTGGAATTCTCTGCTGTGGTCAGGTCTCTCCTCTACTGTGCTGACAGAGCTAAACCCGCCCAATCCCACTGAGATTTCCAATGGAAACATTTCGGATTGCCCTTAAACTGCTTTTGAAACCAGGCTTGACTCGGAATAGGCCTGGTTTAAGGCGATGCTCAGAGCTTGCATGTTCGGTTGTACCTCCCTTTGCTTCTGACAGGCAGAGTTCACACTTGTGAAAGCAGCACGATAGCCCTCGAGCGTTTGTTTGGCCTGGACAGTGCCCATCTCTGCATCTCCCAGTCTAGAAATGCAGCAGATAAGTGGTATAGGATGAATTTTTCCATCCCTGTAAACCACTTGGCTTATACACGTCTATGCTCAGATCTTTTCCCATCACAGCTCATTTTTTGAGGGTTAAGTCACTTCTCTTCCTGTCCCTGAGCCTTTCCATTCCCTGCCTGTTGGGAAGGGGCAGTGCCTCCCCCTGCTTCTGTAAGACAAGTTGCTTGTCACAGCCCAAAGTGGAAGGATTCAGTCGAGGGTGAGTGATGGAAGGTGGTGATAAGGGGACGGAGATGGGCAGGAAGAGGTTAATCCTTTAACAGGACGGAGCTTGGGGCAGGTCTGAAATCCATCAGTGTCTTGTAAAGGGCAGCATCGCTTTTGCTTGCTGTTTTCTGCAGCTTTTAGCCTTGGGACTGGTTCAAAGGGTTCTGTCTGGGAGCGTGATGAATGGGCAGAGCAGAGCAGCCCTTTCATGGGCTGCTGCCAGCTCGGAATTAGCCCGGTCCCCTTTTAGCTCAGGGGCTGCACAAACACCGGAGGTTGCTCACCTTTGCAGAGCAGGGAGCAGTGTTTGCTCAGCACCCATGTGTGATGGCATCAAGTGCATTTCTCAGAGGGGCTTTTCCCCCTCCTCTTTAAAGCATCTGGGCTGCATAGGCAGCTCCTTATTATGAGTGGAGAGAGCAGGGCTTGTGGTTTGACTTTGGTATTGCCTCTGCCTCTGGGAGCATTAAGAGGGGGAAAGCAGGGACGTATCCTGCTGGAATGGCATCCTCTCCCTTCCTGCAGACCCATTCACATCAGTGGCTTGATGCTCAGCTCGGGTTCTTGCCTTGCTCTTCACAAGTGTCTGGAAGCGGCCGAGTGGGCAGCGTGGTCCTGCCTTCAGCTCCTTTATGGAGCGCCCGGGGCTGCAGTTGGAATGCGTGCACAGGCTCCAGTGCTTTCCCAGCTCCCTGCAGGATGCCAGGAGCTCTGAAATCAAAGGGACCCAAGGAGTGCTCCCAAACCCAGGAGCAGGGAACGCTCTCCCTGCTTCTCCAAGCAGGCCATGCAGCCACTTGGGGTTGTCCAGACACACACAGGCCCTCCTGCAAGTGCCTAAATGGGCTGAGCACCAGCCCGAAGACCAACTCTGCCCTTAATGGATTTCTTGTATAAATGCACCACAGCGAATTCATTTTAACCCAAAAACATCCCTAACAAAATATTTGTTGTCCGCCCTCTTCCTCTGGGTGCACAGAGAGGCTGCAAATAGGACATACTCTAAATATATCGCATTCCTGAGCACATTACACGCTCACAAACAGGTCTGGTACCTGAGACCAGCCCCAGCCTTGGCCAGACGGTGGGCAGGCAAAGTCTAGCTAAACACAGCAGCTATTTCTGGCCTTCTCTTCCTTTCTGGGGGTATGGGAAGCATAAAGGAACCTCACTTCTAAGCCCAGTGGCTCAAAGGCTCTGGTTATCCCATCTCAGGCTTCAGCTCTCTGTCTTGGCCATCCAGTTCTTAGGACTTTTGGCAATGAAAGGTTTCTTTGCCTGTTTGTTATGACAACAGTGGCTTAATATCTGTCCCCTTGGTGTAAATGTTTGCTTCTCTCAACGTAAGCCTGTGTGCAACATCAGTGCTGATGCTTTGTGAGCATAAGAGGGGTCTCCAGCATCTCCCCTGCAGCAACCTCCAGCCGCTATTAATGAAGCTGCTTTGGGATAAATCACTGCTCTTCTTTAGTGCTGTAATTCAAGGGGGGGTGGCAGTTTGGAGCTGCTTCCCTCAATGGGCTCTTTGTGATGGCTTGTGGCATGTTGGGGTGCTGGGTTTGCTGGGCAGAGACCTGGTGCTTGTCACCTACCTGGAGGTATGAGCCATGATCTCCATAGGCAGGGCTGAGGAAGCACCAAGGCTGCCGTTCCTGCTTGTCTCCCTGCCCTGGCTGCATCCAGCCATCGCGCTGGATGTGGCACCATCTCTCTATTACACAAGACAGGGTTTAACTGAGCCCGGGAGCAGGGTGTGATCCCGTTGTGGTTTGCAGTGGGGAGGTCAGGTAATGAAGGAGGTTTCCTTGCAGCATCCGATCCAGCTTGTCTGCATCAGGAGAAAGGGAACGGGGAAGGGGAAAGCTTTGCTCAGCCACAAACCCTCTGCCCACGGTGTGCACAGGACCAAGCAGCATCCTGCCTGGAGCTGAGCCTCCCACAGCATCTCCAGGGCTCTGCTCCTGCCTTCTCTTGCTCCTGTCACCAGTTCCTTTGCTCTGGTGCTTTTCATTGTCCTGCTCTGCACTGGCAATGGCGAGGCTGCTGCTGGAGCAGTTCACAGCTCAGCAAAGGCCTTGGCTTTTGTCAGTTCCAACCCTGGCCCCTAATCCGGGGTTGCTCTCTCAGCCCTTACCCTTTTGTACTGCACAAACCCAGGACAAAAAGTGCTTGCGGTCCAACGCAGCATCACATTCCCAGGGGATCGCTGTCCCCCATCGGCAGCCGGCCTTGGGCTCGCAGCATCCATCTCCCTGTGTTTATTTAGCAGCTGGGACTTTGTCAGTGACTCAGAGGCACTGCTCCAGATGGTTAAAGCAAAACAGATTCCACCCATTACTGGATGTGAAGAGAGAGCTTTGTGAGGAGTCAGCGTCAGGGGGCAAGAGCTGGGACTTCAGCAGAAGCGAGAGCAGGGTTTGAATAGGGGAGAGGAGATGCCCTGGGGTAAAGTTTGTGGTAGGAGTTTGGTTTGTGTTTTTAATAGTGCAAAAGAAATCGTTTCTGGTCCAGGCTGCCTTAAAGCCTCCATGTTTGGGAAGCCAAGAACTGGAGCTCCACTCTACAGGAGAAACGATGATCTGCATAGGTTTCTGCATCTTAAAGCAGGAGAGCAACGCATATGGGTTAGGTGGGGACAGAGAGAGCACCTCCATGCTCTGTCCTGCGCTCCTCAGCATCACCACTGGGGATGGGCTCCTTGCTGCCTTGTTTGGGGGCAGTTTCTCTGTCCTTGGCTGTTCAGACCCATCCTAGGCAGGTCTCTTGCTGCTTTCTGACCAGGACCACTGTGCATGGGGGGTGTTTCAAGGGAGTGCTAAGATCCTCTTGAGCTCACTCCTGAACTGGGTCTCTTCTTGTGCTTTGGGGGTAGAAATCCCCCCCAGTACTTTTCCCTTGGACTGGGGGAGCTGAGCTCTGGGTCTGGGCCTGGTTTTCTCCCTCCCTCCCTGCTTCGCATCCCTCACACTGAGCAAACCGCATCCCATCAGCTCGAGTCCCTGGTTCCATACCTACAATCAGGGTGCAGCCAACCCGGTTGTGTTTCCTAGAGGTGCCATTGCTCTCTGAACAGCTGCTTGGCTCCTACAGTGCTGCTGAAGGCTTTGCTTTATGGCTGATCCATGAGGTGGGAGCTCACCAAGTGCCCATTCAGGCGCTGAGTGCGTTGCTTTGTGATCCCTGAGGGGGTTTAACCAGTGTCCCTCGCAGCTGCAGTGCATGGCTTCAATGTGAGCAGAGACAAAGCTTTCAGAGATGGCTTTTCCCTGTTGAGGGGACAGCTTGTTGTGAGCGTTTGCCTCCACGTGTGCACAAAGCATGGGGAGGGTGGTTTTGGTGTCTGTTGTAGCCATTAAGGATTGTTTGCGTCTGAGTTTTATGTGGAGCCTGTTTTCCCCATCAGGGGCTCTGCACGCTGGTGTTGGATGATACAATACATCTGCCTCTATGTGTGTTATTGAGTGCTCTCAGTGTAACAGAACCTCTGCAGTGAAGCCATCAGAAGCTGCAGAATCAAGGGAGAAAACTCCTGGTTCTTGCTCCTTGGGAAACCTGCAGCTCCCTCAGCTTGCTCCTTTGGTCTTGAACCTCCCACTATAAAGCTGAGCTCTACAACGCCTTGAGCTGCTCTATCAATAGTGCTCTGCTCTAATGCTCCCCTCTGGGAGTGGGAAGGGGAATGGATGGGGATTGGGTTTGCTCTCAGCCACATCATGAAGATGTCATTGTGTGCCGGTCTGCTATAGCTATCTGAGGCCTGAAATACCCTCCAGGGAGGGAAACCGTGGCTCAATTCTTGCTGATTTGCTCACTTTGCTTTTTCATGCTTGGCAAATGCAGGCAGAAAACCCCATGACAAAGGAGTTGGACTCACTGAAGAATCCCAGGGCAGAGCAGGGTTTGGGTTTGTGCTAAGTCAGCATCTCCGGGGGAAGAGAGATGCGCTGTGGGACCTTGCTTAGGAGAAACTCTCTGCATTGCAAATGGACTTCCCAGACTACACAGGATGCAAGTTTGCTCTGGCACCTTGAAGTGCCTCAGATCTAACAAAGTCAGGTATTGCTGTAGTGGTTTTAAGAACCAAGGCCCAAAGTGTAAACCCAGTATGAGCAGCACTGTCCCAAGGGGTAAATCACAGCAGTTCATCTTGGTTTTCCATGGGTGCTGAGCCGCTGCAGGAAAGGAGGAATCAGTCGTGTTGTGCTGTAAAATAGGGGGTAAACAGAGATAATAAAGGGGAAACAAGGAAGAAGAAAAGCCCAAGTGGCTTGCCCCAGGTAGTGTGGGCAGAGCAGGAGCAGAGCTGAGGTTGAAGGGGAGATGCCCACTTGGTCTCCACTTGCCTGGCTGCTGTCGGTTGCATCAGTGCTGGAGATGGATGTGCCACACATCACCTGCAGGAGCCTGCACGTCCTGCTGCCACCTCCTGCCTTAGCACCTCAGCCTAACCAGGAGCCTTGTGTCTCTTTAAAGCTCTGGGCATTCTTCCTTTCCAAGTCATTGGATTTGAGCAGAGGAGAGGATTCCTGAGCTCTGATGTAACCGTCAGCAGGACCACGTGGGTTCTGCCGGTTTTGACAAGAAAAGGTCTCCTTGGAAGCAAGTTATAACGTTTTCAGTAGCTCTTTTGTACAGCAGTGATTTTCCAGCCCGACTTTGCTCCCGGGCTCGGGTCCCTGCAACGCTGGTTTGTGCCGTGCCCTCACGTAGGCTCCGAATGTGAAATCCATTCAATGTCCGTGACTCATTTGCTGTCCCAAGGAATGCTGCGGCTGGAGGAGGACCCTGCCTTGGGGAAGCAGCGAAGTGCTGCTGTCAGCACAGCAGGATTCCAGCTTTTCCAATGCCTGCCCAGGCCAGGAAGGGAAGGGATTCCCATGGGCTTGATGAGACCCCCAACATGAGACTCCCGCTTCCCTGCATCTTGCCAACGTGAAGGTGGCCCTAGCAAAGCTGAGCTGGGTTCACTTCCATAGTAGCTGAGACCAAACTAATGCCCCTGTGCTTCTGAAACAAGCCCTCCAGTGGGTTTAAGTAGCAAGGGAGATTTCTTACACAGCCATTTGTAAAATCAAGGGGTTTCCTTCTCAATGAGGAGCAGCATCCTCCTGTGTGGGCTGGAGGAGGGATTGGCACCGGGTGGAAAGGTTGCGCCGCTTCCCTGTGGTGTCTTTTCCTACTGCACCTCTCCAAGCAGAGCTGGGTTTTGCTCCCACCTCGAAGCCATTTCCTTGCAATCCAGCATCATCTCTGTTCCCTTTATGCTTTCAGAACATGAACATCCAGGTGGAGGACATCAGGATCCGTCCCATCCTCGCCACCTACCGCAAGCGGGTGCCCGTCACGGAGGGTTACGTGGAGGTGAAGGATGAAGGGGCCTGGAAGCAGATCTGTGACAAGCACTGGACCATGAAGAATTCCCGCGTGGTCTGTGGCATGTTTGGGTTCCCGAGCGAGAGGAAATACAACACCAAGGTCTACAAGTAAGAGCAGGGCTTGGCGCGAGGCACCGGTGCGTTCCTTTGCACACTGGGGTTCAAGCAGCCAAGTGAGCCCATCCCAGTGCAGAAGCAGCTTCAGGGTCAGGTCTGGCTTGTGCTGGAAGCTCCAACCGAGCCACCTTGCCATAAACCAGGTCTTGGTGCTTCATTGCCCAGGTTCCTCCCTCCCACCCTGCAGTTCCTGGTCTCCCACCTCTTGTGATGTGTTTGCCCACATGGGAGCTGCTCTGGCTCTCACCAGCCGTGGTTTGGGGGGGTCCAGCTGCCACAAAGGCTATTTCCCCCTGTATCTCCCGCCGTTGTTCACTCCAGTTCGGCTCCTTTGCTCCCATCCCTCCAGTTCCCAGGCTGGAATTGCTGCAGCCATCCCCAGCTGTGTGTGACTTGCTCTGCCCATTCCAGCCTGCTCTGAGCTGAGCACTGAGCTAAGGGTACCGGTAGCACCTCCGTGCTCCTCCTCCAGCATCACTCCTGCCCGTGCAGCTCAGGTGGTGCTTGTAGAAAGACGCAGTTGTGATTTTAGTGCTGCTTTTTCTCCCTGTAGCTGTAGATGGCTTTAAATGAGGGAAGAATCCACTGATCCATAGGGAGAACATCGCTGCAAGCTGATGGCTTTAGGCTGTGTTTCCTGTTTCTGGAGGGCCAGGAGCTCTGGGCTCCTTTATCACTGCTTCAGTTTGTGTTTCATCACCAGCCTCCATCACAGACGTGGTTCTTCCTACACTTTTCCCTAGGAATAACAGCCTAAAGCAGCTGCAAAACAGTTTAAGTGAAATCCTGCCTCACTCCTTGCCTCCGCTGTGACCTGGGGAGGGGGAAAGCAGCGATGCTGGGGGGGAGAGCTGAGCTCTCCAGGCAGGAATGTGCTATTCCTGCCTGCCCCTTTTGGCCTGTGGAATTGCTCTTTCTGAGCACTCCCCCTGGAGCTGCCTGGCCACTTTCATTGCTTTCATTAGCCAGGTCGTGACCAGTTGAGGAGGTCCTTGGGCTGGAACAGAGCAAAGCCACATGGCACAGAGAGCATCAGGTGAATAACGCGGGTGGGATTCCCAGGGACATGAGCAGTGGGTTCATAATGGGTACCAGGCGGCCTCTCGCCCTGGACACCACTTTGAGGAGTGTTGCTTCCATCAGGGCAGCAAACTCCTCTCTGAGATTGCCATCCCCAGCATCGGAGCAGGAAGGATGAATGAGCTCTGGTAGCACAGAGATTTGTCCTGCTTCTTAGCTGTGGTGTTTCCAAGAACAGCATTAACTGGAGCAGCTGGAGCCATCTGCCTTCAATAAGAAGGGGTTGGTAATTGTCCCATCTCTTGCAATAGGGATGGAAAAACTGAGGCACAGTTATCCAGCAAATCCCATTTATTGTGAGTGAAGCCTCAAAGCCGTTCCTCTCATTTCACAGGCTTTGCTCTCCCTCATTTGTAAATCCCATTCTCCAAGAGCGGATCCTTCCCCGCTGCTGCTCCGCAGATGGGAGATGGGCTGGAATGGGGTTTCTGCTGGCTGGGGCTGAGTGCCCCTTCCCACATCCCTGCCAGCCCCATTGCCCGCATGCTGAGCTTGCTGATCCCTGCTTCTGCACAGTGCTGGGAGGTGGAATGATTTGCAGATGGATCTTGCTTGAAAGAAAACAACTCAGTTCAGGGCTGTCCCGGTGCCAAGGGTTTATTCCTGAACGTAACCGAGGCCGGGAGCTGACAGCGCGATTTATGGGAGGAAACGGAACAAATCCCAGCCTTGTTTCCATGTTCTTGTTCATCCCTCAACCCGATTTGCTGTGGGCGCTGCTTGTGAGCTCCTCCTCCCAGCCCCTGCTCTGCCTGAGGGAGCAGAGGAGGATTCAATGCGTTTTGCCGATGGTTCTGGCTGGAGATGCCTTAAGCCGGGAGCTGGACCCAGCGCCTTCCTGAGGCCTTGCAGCTTTGTGATGTGTCCCGTAAATGCACGGAGGAGCTCAGCAGGTCCAGGGTATTTGGTTCAGCATCAGCCCAAACAGCATCGCCCGGTTTCCTCAGTGCGCTCCCGGCACTATGAAGCTGCTCAGTTAATCCCTGCCATGCTTGCATAGGAATCCTCATGGTTGGGGTTCTCTAGCACAGCCAGGACCTCAAGGGCTTTGGCAGGAGGTGGCAAGTCTGCCTCCTCTCCTGCCTCCCTGAGGCTGAAGGCAGCAGCAAGGCTTGGAGCACCTCAAGGGTAGACCTGCGAGGAGGTCCCCTGTTCGGGTGAGTTTTCCCAGTGTGAACATGGCAGTGATTGGTTTTGTGCTCCCAGATTCCTCCCGGATGCTTTCTTCCATCACAAGGCTCCTTTAGCTGAACCTGAGGCCACTTCCCACAGCCCCTGGGCTCAGTCTGTGGCTTTGAGTGGAGCTCCTGCGAGGAAGGTCCCTGCCTCCTCGCCAGCAGGAGTGATTTGGACTCCAGGTTGCACTGGAGTTGGCTGAACTCTTGCACTGTGACTGCTCCCTTACACCTCTGCCCTGAGCACTGCTGCCCTTGGCTTACACCCAGGCAGGGGAGAGGGGGGCTGCAGCCTTTCTGTGTTAAAAGGTGACCAACAAGGATGCCCTGGGTCTGTGTCTGCACAAATCAGCGCTGTTCCACTCCTTATCCCGGGGAAACGAGGTGGGGCTTTCTCCGGCTCTTTCTCCCCAGCCTACCACGGGCTGTTAATACCAACCAGATGTTGAAGCCTCCTGAAGTTTCCAGGATGAGGTCACTGTTTGCTATTCTAAGGCATCCCCACAATGAGGGCTTGAAGGCAGGCTGTGTTTGTCTGCTTTGGAGTCCTCCTCTCGTGTCTGCAGAGGGGAACATTCCCGCGGGTTCCCACTTCCACACTGAGCACATGCAGGAGCACAGAGGGTGCTGGGGCAGAGCTGGTTTGGGCAGTGAGAGTCTGGAGTGGTGGTGCTGGACCGGATGCATTCCAGGGTACTGCACAAGTGTCAAAAAGCCATGGAAGCCTCTGCCCTGGGGCTGCTCAAGGTCCCATCTGAGCATCAACTGCTCTCCTCGGTGGCAGAGCAAGGGGACAGATTCAGGCTCTGTTTGCCCCCTGCCTTTGAATGAGCTGATTTCTGACCCATCCATGATGCAGGGATCTTCATTGTTGCTCCAGCTTCCCTGTGGATTCATGCTCTGATCTTAGCTGAAGGAGATGACCTATTCACCCCCAAGTGACACCTTAACAGAGAGTCACTGTGGGTACGAATGGAGGAGCCTTCAAACAGCGCTGCTCAATCCCACCTCAGTGCAGTTCCTATGGGCTCCTTTCCCATCCGTTCCCTGCAGGATGTTCGCCAGCCGGAGGAAGCAGCTTTACTGGGCGTACTCCATGGACTGCAGCGGGAACGAAGCTCACGTCTCCAGCTGCAAACTGGGCAACCACCTCAATGTGGATGCGGAGAAGAACGCCACGTGTGACAATGGGATGCCTGCGGTCGTCAGCTGCATCCCGGGCCGGGCCTTCGCCCCCAGCAGCCACAGTGGCTTCCGAAAAGCCTTCAGGCAGGAGGTGAGGAGATGCTCTGTTGAGCTCTTGGGCAGAAGGCTTGAATGAGCTCTGTGTGTTCAGTCCAGCACCAGAAGATGTGCACAAGCCTTAGAAAATGACCCTGGAGCCAGTTTTCTCAGTGTGACTTGCAGCAAACGTTGTTTAGGTTGATGCTAAGGGCACTATTGCAGTTGTAAAGGATGTGCCTTAGGATATAGGGGTGGTTTTGAGGTCTGGAGGCTCCTAATGCTGGCTCAGGGGTTGATCAACCCAAGGTGTTGATTGCCCCTGGACGCAGCCTGCATCACCCAGTCTGTGACTTGAGGAGTGGGCTTCATCTTGACCCCACCTGAGGCCACTGCTGTGGTGGGAACAGCACCCTCCTGGCCCTGCTTTGCCAGCCTGGAGTCCCCATGAGGATCCAGGCCTCCCAGGTCTTGTGAATCACTGCTCACCTCCTGAGCCGTGCACGCTGCCAAGTCATTCCTGCAGCCTTTGTGTGGGCTTTGGACATCCTTGGTGTGAGCCCAGCCTGCAGAGCTGCACGTGCTGCCAGCGTTGGGAGTTCAAGGGGGTTTTGGTCCCAGATGGACCCATGGTGCTCCCATAGCTGGGACTCCTGGATGGGCTCTGCTTGGTACCGGTAAGTGATGTGTGGTCGGTAATAGAGTAAAGAGCAGGGATTGATGGAACTGGAGCTGCGTACAAGCTGGGACATCACTTATCCCACCACTTGTAACTGCAGCAGACAGGTTCTATGTGGCCTGAGGCCCATGTTGGTCTCCCCAGGACCCCTGGCTGGAGATGTGTGCAGCAAATGAACCCATCCAGGGGCTGCAGCACAGGCAGCAAGTGGGAAAAGCCTTGTGTGAATTGGCTCAGAGCAACTCCCAAGCCTCCTCTAAGGCTCCCAGGAGATGCTGTGAGAACTGGGTTGTTCCATGGCCAACCACTCCATTGTGGGGCTGCAAAGCTGCTTGTGTGGAAAAGGCTCCTAAATCCAAGCACCAAAGCTTCAGCGCAATAAAACGTCTCTTTATTCTGTGCCCATGCAAGACGTGTGTCTGAGTACACCAAGAGTCTGAACAGGTAAAAATCTACTTCACACAGCACTTTCAGCCCTTTCTATCCTGTGCTGGTTCATTTAAGGTGCCTCAGGGTCACACTTGCTGGGCCACAACGTGCCTGCAGCCACGTGCCACCAGTAAGGGCTTTAGGAAGGGATGCGCTGGTCCTGGGCAGTGGGAACCCCTCCTCTGTCTGTGTCTTCCAGCAACCCCTGGTGAGGCTGAAGGGAGGAGCCAACACTGGCGAGGGCCGAGTGGAGGTGCTGAAGAACGGGGAGTGGGGAACAGTTTGTGATGACAACTGGAACCTGGTGTCGGCCAGCGTGGTGTGCCGGGAGCTGGGCTTCGGCAGCGCCAAGGAGGCCATAACGGGAGCCAGGCTCGGGCAAGGTAAGGGCAATGGGAGCTCGGGGACCGGTCGTGCCTTGTCCGCCTCCATCACCCAGGGCAGAGCCTGGGTTTAATGGGATCTTTGTCTGGGGGGACCAGGGGTTTGTTCTCTGCCCTTAATAAGTGTCTGGAGTGAAGAGCTTGGGGCTGGGCTGGAATATGTGACTTGGGAATTGATCCTTGAGGGCTCCTGGTGATGGGTTCCACCTTTCCCTCCAGCAGCTCTTCCAGTAACCGCCTCTTTGTTATCACATTGGCTGCTCCCAGTGCTCTTTGGAAGCTCTCCAGACCCACATCGTGGTGTAAGGCATTACTGGAGGCTCCTGGCAAAAAGGGTCCTGGATCTGGACCTCAACCACTCTCCAGCTGAAGTCTGCAGCATGAATTTAGCCCATTATAAATAGAAGGGTATTTGAGCAGTTCAGAGCCAGGTTTGGCTTAGGATTTGCTGTAGGTGGGAGTTGGTTTAAATCCCAAGCTGTGTTAAAGGATAACTCAGAGCCTATCAGCACGTGTAAAGCGCAGTGGTGGTGGCCAGGAGCTGGAAAGCTCCAAAGCGTGACCTGTCCATTGGCTCTTGCAGAGGGATGCAGGGAGCTGCTGATGTGTTCAGCTTCATCCAGGAAACAGCAGGGTCATCATGGGGGGGAAGCAGCTGCCACGGGAGGGAGCAGGACGTGCTGTTCCCTCTCCCACAGCCTGGAACCTCAGCAGTGCTGCTGATTCCCACTCACTTCCCTTCCTTTTACCACGGAACACTGGGCATCAGTCACTGCACCCGCTCAGAACTGGCCCTTGGGAGGATGCTCCCACAGGAACTCCCTTTAGCAGCCACATTGGGGTAGGAAAAGGAGCTCTTTTGGCCCAAAGTCACCTCCCTGCTCCCGTGCCTCGGTGTCTGTGCACGGGTTCAATCTCTGCCTCGGTACAGCTGCATCTTGGTGCATCTGTGTGGCCAAAGACTAATGGGGAGGATCAGGCTCATCACTGGTGGGATGGAGATTCAGTGTCACAGGGCTCCAAGTTCCATCAGTGGGCAGTGTCTGGAGGTCCCAGGTAAGGCAAAGAGACCTTTGGGAGATGAGTGCAGGCAGCATCACACAAGATCCATGCAATGAAGGAGCAGCCTCCAAGGCCGAGGCTCCCAGGGAATGTCGATCCGGCCGCTTTTTGCTTCTCCCTCATTCAAATCCTGTTTGTGGTCTGCATCTGGAAACGCTGATGCTGACCCAGTCATTCTGCAAGCCACCGAGCAGTTGGAGTAGGAGGAATAGGAGGAATGCCTTGATGCTGACCAGAGTTGGAGGGTGATGCCCCAGGAATGCAGCATGGATCCAGCCTCACATTCCCCACTGAAATGGCCCAGCAGTCATCCCAATGGAATGCCAAAGCAAGAAGGCAGGGCCATGGTGTGGAGCCACCAACCTGGGCACATCTCCTCTCTGGGGGAAGCTCTTTTAGGCCATGAGGGCAGGAAGTGCTGCTTGTGATCCAAGTTGTATTCCCTCCCATGTCCTTCCCTGTAACATCATGTCCTTCCCTTTAGCAGGACAGGATCAGGAATGGATTATGTGTATTCCAGGAAAGACTCTAGTTGTTCTTTGTGATGAAGATCATCTGCCGGTGCCTCTGATTCATCCCCCAAGAACCCCTTTCTAACCAGCTTTGGAAACGGGAGCAGGGAGCAGGCAGGAATTGTCCCATGCAGGCAGGAATTGTCCCATGTGCCCCTCTCCTCGTGCTGGTTCCCTTTGGGAGAAGCAGCAGTTTTCTGCTGCCACTTGTCCAAAGAGGATCCAGGTTATTCCCTTTGGCTCCCAGCACCTCTGTGGTACAAAGTGATGCTCGTTCCTGTTTGCATGAGCGGTGTCGGAGCCTGTACCAGAGACCTGCCCCGAGCTGTTCCTCTGCCTCCCCACGCATCCCTGCGCTGTTGTATGTTGTTGTCCCATCTAAATGTCAGGCCTTGACTGGGAGCAGATTCCCACTCACGAACGCAGCCAGAAGGGTTCCTGCAGCTGAGGTTCGTGAGCTCGGGAACAATGGGAAGTTTTGGCTTTTCCTGCAGCTTTTTTGGTGCTCGAGCCCCAGGGATGCTGAGAAGAATTCAGTGGTAAAATGAGGACTTTTATCCTGCAGCTTTTTGCTGGAGTTTTACAAGGAATGCCTGGAATGCGTTCAGGATCACTGCGCTCTGATGCCTGCACTGTGCTGTTGACCGGTACTGGGTATTCCTTCTCCAAGCAGCAGCATGGGCAGAAGGTAAAACCTCTCTTTCCCTTTCCTCCCAAGGCATGGGTCCGATCCACCTAAACGAAATTGACTGCACTGGCTTCGAGAAGTCGGTCACAGACTGCAAGTTCAACATGGAGTCCCAGGGCTGTAACCACGAAGAAGATGCTGCTGTGAGATGCAACGTCCCAGCAATGGGCTTCCAGAATCAGGTGAGAAACCAAGCGGTCCAGATGGGAGTGAGCATGGCGAGATGTGTTCAACCCAGAGCATCATCGGCCCTCCCTCGCTGTGCAGGGGAGCTGTGCAGGAATCATTCCACCTAAGCTGTGATGTTCACATTGCGTTGTACTGGGAGGAGGGCAAACGAGGGCGATGCTCCCTTTTTGCACTGAGCTTTGAGCTCCTCCACGCTCGATGGAGGCTCATTAGGTGAAGCGCTGCTTTGGCTGCAATCACTGCAAGCCAGTAACACTGGCACCCATCCCGGTTGCGATGGTTCCGGGCTCTGTGGCCCCAGCTGCTGCCTCTGCCCATGAGCTGGGCTGGTTCTCACCTCTGCTCCCTGTGCCCTGCAGCTGCGGCTGAGCGGCGGCCGCAACCCCTACGAGGGCCGGGTGGAGGTGCTGGCCGAGCGCAACGGGACCCTGCGGTGGGGCACGGTGTGCAGCGAGAACTGGAGCACGGTGGAGGCCATGGTGGTGTGCAGGCAGCTGGGGCTGGGCTTTGCCAGCCATGCCTTCCAGGTGAGCCCCTGCCCTCGGGTGTCGGTGTTGGTGTCGGTGTGCCCGGCTGGGGATGCTGCAGGAGGAGAAGGAAGCAAAACCCAACAAATCACAGCCTTCCACTGCAGGGCATTATCTAGAGAGGTCCTGGAGGTTCAGCCCCATCCACAGCAGCCCCTGGGGGGATATGGAGCAGAAGCTGTTGCAAAGCTGCTGTTTCCACAGCTCAGGTGTCCCGGGAATCCCGACTCCCTTATCCCTGTGGTTCCATGTGGATTCTTGGCCCTGTCTCAGCCATCAGGGAGTTAACTCCTGAGGCTGCCTGATGCATGAGAGCGGGGTTTAACCCAGCATCAGACCACTTGAAACCAGTTTGCTTCTGCTCCTGTAGGCTGGGTCCAGGACACATGGGGCTCACGGGCAGGTGGATTCCAGCCGGTTTAAGCGTTATCCATTGCCAGCGGGGATGCACGGGTCCAGGCAGGGGCTGGCTCAGGAGGCTGCAGCCGCCGTTGCAGTGATCTCCATGCGCAGCCTGGCTCCTCCAGCTGAGCTCCTGTGGAGGTGCCAAGCAGAGCACAAGGGCTGAGGAGAGCCACGTCCCTGCAGCACGGCCTTTCCAGCCGCCGGCCTCTATTGACACAGCCCCGAGAGGCCGGCGAGGAACAAGACGTTTTTTCCTCTGGCTGGTATTTAGGGCAGAAAGAGCCCTTCTGTGAATCCCGGCCCCGTGCGCATAAAGCTGCACTGTGTGGAACAGGGCAGCCCTGTGTGCGGGTGTGCGAAGGGCTGCTGCGATGGGAGCGCTCGGACCGAGGGGGGTTCTCTTCCTGGGAGCGTGCTCTGACAGCAGCAGGGCTGAGGAATGGTTCCTGCTTTCCTTCCTCCCCTCATCCCAAGCTTTGTGACTGCAGCTGCCTCCGGGTTTGGATGTTGGGAGTTAACGTCCTGCTGTTCCCATCGCTATGGAGAGCTGCGTGATGGAGATGAGGGTTTGAGCATCACTGAACCCCCCCTTGAGAGCAGGAGGTTTATGAGACCCTCTTAGTCCTGGTTCTCCTCAAATGCCTTGTTTCCAGTGGCATTCCAGCATGGCTGTGGATGCTGCCTCCTCTCCTGTGCAAGCAGGCACTGGCATTACTTACGGCCCTCCCAAGTGCACAGATGCCACAAGACAGATGTGCTTTGATTGCTGGGCATCTCTCCCAGAGCATGGCCTAAATGGCTTAGAACAGGCCAAGGATGAATGGAAAAGTGAGTTTACAGCTGGATTAAAACCAAGGAGAGGCTTAAACCAGCTCGGACATGGTGTTTGCTGACTGCTGGTCAGGGCAGGGTGCATGGGACTGGGATTAAACCCCAGTCTTCTGCTTAAACAGACCTGGGCTCATTCCCCAAGTTCCTCTTCCCTGCCTCAGCATCCTTGGGCATCGGCTGTCTCCTCGTGTGCTCTTGCACCGCTCTTCCCTGGAGGGAGCCTGCAAGGTAGAGGGGGAGGATCCAGGGGTCCCTTGGCACCAAAGAGGGGGTCAAATTCCTTGTTCCTCCCAGGAAACCTGGTACTGGCACGGGGACATCAGCGCCGACAGCGTCGTCATGAGCGGCGTCAAGTGCTCGGGGACAGAGATGTCCCTGGCCCACTGCCGGCACGACGGAGCCCACGTCTCCTGCCCCAGAGGAGGCGGCCGCTTCGGGGCTGGCGTCTCCTGCTCTGAGAGTGAGTACTGCAGCTCCCCCTGCTCGCAGCATCAGTGAGCGCGGGGTCCGGCCCGCACCCGGTAACCCCAGCCCTCCCTTGCAGCCGCCCCTGACCTGGTGCTGAACGCGGAGCTGGTGGAGCAGACGGCGTACCTGGAGGACCGGCCCATGTTCATGCTGCAGTGCGCCCTGGAGGAGAGCTGCCTGGCCAGCTCCGCCGCCAACACCTCCCGGAGCTCCGGCTACCGCCGCCTCCTGCGCTTCTCCTCGCAGATCCACAACAACGGCCAGTCCGACTTCCGACCCAAGAACGGGCGCCACGCCTGGGTCTGGCACGACTGCCACCGGTGGGTGCGCGGGGAGCCCCTCTGTGCCCAACGGGGGATGCAGTGGGGGGGGTTAGGGCAGGTGTCACCCTCCCACAGCCCCCTACAGTTGGATGGGTAAGAACTGGGGCATGGTCACAGATCCCAGCCTGGGTTGGGTTGGAGGGAGCTTAGAGCTCCTCCAGCTCCAATGGCAGGGACCCCTTCCACTGGAGCAGCTTGCTCCAAGCCCCTGTGTCCAACCTGGCCTTGAGCACTGCCAGGGATGGGGCAGCCACAGCTTCTCTGGGCACCCTGTGCCAGCGCCTCAGCACCCTCACAGGGAAGAGCTCCTGCCTTAGATCCAACCTTAAACGCCCCCTGTTTCAGTTTGAACCCGAAATGTATGGGTTAAGATCAGATGGATGTGCACGTGCAGAGGAAGCGCATGGAAAGATGCAGCCATCTGAGCTACCCCCTCACCTGGAAGGGACTCGAGGATGTGCTTGAATCCTGCATCTTTTAAACACATCTCGGCTGCACTTACACTGTGTGCGGGTGGGAGGTTGTTTGGGGCCTATCTGTGACAAACAGGGAATTCACAGCCATAAAAGCGTCGGTTTTGAGGGAGAAATGGGCAGTTTGAGCCAGAGTAAACCATGGGGAGGAAAGGGAGCTGGAACGCAGCCATCCAGATGCTTTGCTTCTGAACTGGTGGCTTGTTGCAAGGGTGATTCTCTCTCATGTGGGGTAAAAGGGAGCTGGGTAACTCCTGCCCCTGGTGTCAGGCTTGTGTGAAACCAGGCGATGCTCAGGGCTCAGCCCTTTATGGCCCTGGTGAGGTGCAGGTACCGCTCCAGCAGGGCGGCTGCTTCCCTGGCCCTGTTGGGATGGGCTGAGGGGATGCTTGGGTACCACAAGGCTTCACTGAGCACGCTGCAGGCTGGGAGAGACCTGGCTGAGGAAGAGGCCGGGAGCCATCTGCGTGCTTTAAACTGGATCCCCGGGGGAGGATGAACTCGGTTCCTCTTCAGCCTGCGAACAGCAGCGTGTAAACAGCCCCTTGAGTGACTCAGACATAGCTCAGCACTGAGTCAGAGCCCCGGAGCTCCGCTGCCTCCTCCCAGCGCTGGGAGCTGCTGGGAGCTTGGCTTTAGAGGTGGAAGGAGAACAGAGACGGGAGGGACCTGCAGCAGGGGGAACAGTGATGAACTGCTGGCAGTGGCAGCTCCATGCATACGTGGGTATGGATGCGGCTGGGAAAGGCAGGAGGAGGCGAGGAGGAACCCAGTCTCTAGGGCAGCTTCCTCCCTTTGCCTCCTCTCCCCTCCTTCCTCTGTACACCCACTGCAGCGATGGGAGCTGGGGTGTTCAAGCCATGGGTATTCCTACAGCTGCACTCGAGTGTTTCTTGCTTCAACCCCCGAGCGCTGGGTTTGACTCTGGTGTGTCCCAGTGCAATGTCCCATCGCTGGGAGAGCCATGCAGTGATTTAAGGACCCCCGGCTGCTCCCCATAGGGTGCTCCTGCTGCAGGTTTGCTCCCAGGTCCAAGCCTGGGATCAAACCCAGTGTGTTCCATCAGCGTGACCACGCTTGTGCACCCAGGCCTGGCCTTTGTGGTAGCAGAACTCAATCTTCCCATGTCCAGCATCCCCCAAACGCTGCTGTGGTGCAGGTTTGACAGTGCAGGGGCTGCAGCACAGGCTGGGGGCTCTCTCCTGCACCCAGCAGTGCTGCTGTTAGAGCCCAGCCCCGGCCGAGCTGGCACCAACACCTCCCTGTTGGGAAGGATGCCGCCCATCCTGTGTGATCCCAGCTGCCAGGCTCTCAGCTCCAGATGAAGTGAGTGCTCAGAGGAGCTGCTTCCATCTGCTCTGGCTTTCCTGCCTATAGATCTCTATTCTGCTGCTGAAAACCAGATCAATCCCCATAGACACGGGGCTGCTTTGGTGCCTCCAGCTCCCTTCGCAGTGCAATGTTCCTTGTTCAAGGCTGCTGATGCCTTGGATCCTGTGTTCTCTCCCTTCCTTGCCATTCCAGAACATGGTGTTCTCCAAAGGCTGGGGCAATGCTCTCCCACCAAGCAGCTCTAGCGCTTGATGTGTAAATGGGTACCCGGGCTGGGAGGCAGCGTGCAGGCAGCATGGGTGATGGTGCCACAGGGAATAGCCCCTGGCTGTGGTCTCTCTACCTCCTGCATCAGTGCTTGGTCCATAGCACCCCGTGGTGGTTGTGTATTCAGCTGCAGGGGAATGGGGCTGGGCCTGGGGGATGCAACAGCACAAACATCCCACTCCTCCTGCTGGAGCCGGCTCTCCTGGGCCAGGCTCTGTAGGGCTGGGGGTTACAGGGGTGCCTCTATTCCCTAAGGATAACTCTCCCTGTCCGTGCCTTGCAGGCATTACCACAGCATGGAGGTGTTCACCCACTATGACCTGCTGAACCTCAACGGAACCAAGGTGGCCGAAGGGCACAAAGCCAGCTTCTGTCTGGAAGACACCGAATGTGAAGCAGGTAAATGCCAGAGCCACTTATGCTGGGAGTTTATGGCTGCCCCCATCCAGGTGAACGGCTTCAGAGATGCTCTCACAGGGCTCGAACGTGGCCTGACAGGAGCCAGAAACCAGTCCTGAGGTTATATAGGTATGGAGTGGTCTCCACAGGTATAAGAACCCCTGAGGGCCCCATATGCTCCTCACATCCCTATTCCGAGCTGCTCCAAAGAGCCAAGGGTTTGGGTTCAGCTCCCAAAACCTGCCCCTGGGTGATGAGGGATGAAGGCGGCCGCTCCTCCCCTGCAGCTGCACGGTCCAGCTATGGCAGCACAAGACCCCAGTGGTTCATCACTGAACGTGGAGCTGGGAAACAACGGCATCTTCCCCTGCTGTGCCTGCAGGGGGATCCGCAGCCTGAGCTGCTGGGATGTGCCCTTGTGCCCCTAACCCTCTGCGCCTTTGCTCCGTCAGATGTGCTGAAGCAGTATGAATGTGCCAACTTTGGGGAGCAAGGCATCACCGTGGGGTGCTGGGACGTGTACCGGCACGACATCGACTGCCAGTGGATCGACATTACCGACATCCCACCGGGGGATTACCTCTTCCAGGTAGGAGCTGCTGCTATTGCTTTTATCTCACCCATTAGAGAGGAATCCAACTGATTTAATGGGGCTATAAACCGGCCCCATCCCTGGCCAGGTTGGACACAGGGGCTTGGAGCAAGCTGCTCTTAGTGGAAGGTGTCCCTGCCCATGGCACGGGTTGGAGCTGGAGGAGCTTTAAGGTCCCTTCCAACCCAAACCATTCCATGAAACTTCTGATTACAAGGAGATGATGTTCCCATAGCTAAAAGAGAAAGAATTACCCACCGGGACAACAGCGATCCCATCCCCAAGTGAGAAATCACTTCTAACAACCACATTAAGACATCCACATCCAGCTGATGCTTGATCATCCTACCCAATCCATGTGCAGGTGCTGTTGTTAGCACACTGCATCACATGGCACATTCTACACAGCCACTGCAGGGTTGTGCCAAGCTTTTGAGCTGCTGGTGAGCAAAGCTCACTTCATGTGGGGAGGAAATGGTGCTGTCGTGGTGCTGGCAGGAGTTAGGGCTGTGCCTCCAGTCTGCTCTGTGCAAGAGGGGAAATCTATGGTTCTAAACAGAGCCACGTGGAGAGGAGCAAAGGGGAGAGGAGTTAGTTCTGTCTGCACTGCCCTGGTGTGAAATGAGGATGAGGGGGATGTATCTTGGTGCATGGTGGAAGGTGTGAGCTTGATCCCTCTTTAACCGAGTCATTTGCGTCCCCTTGCACAATGAGTGAGGGTTTTTCTGTTACCAAGTATTATAGTGGAATGGGAAATGTCACCACGAGCCCATCTGCAAGGACTCTGTGCTCCTCCCCCCTGCTCAGGTTGTCATCAACCCCAACTATGAGGTTGCTGAATCCGATTACTCGAACAACGTGATGAAATGCATGAGCCGCTACGACGGGCAGCGCATCTGGATGTACAACTGCCACATAGGTGAGTCCTTGGGCAGGGAATGCAGGGATCCCACTGCAGCATTCACCAGGAATCCTCTGTGCTTCCACTGCAAGGTGTTTGTGTGCTGGTTTATCACTTTGTAGGTGCTTGGAAAGAGGAGATAGAGGCCAAGCAGAGGTGCTGTTTGCTGTGGGCTGTGCAAAGCAGCCATCACCGTGTCCCTGTTACAGGTGGCAAGGAGTGAGGTGGCAGGGGGGTTCAGCAGTGCTGCATCAGACAGGTTACTGGAGCAGCAAGCACAGCACTGGTCAAGCTCTGAAAGAAAGGCCTCAGGCCTGGTAGGATGGGGAGAGCAGAGGGCCCAGCTGTGTCCCTTCCATTGGGAAATGGGCGCTTTTCCCTCCCTAGACCATCAGATGTAAGGAAAGCTCTTGTGCAATCAATCACAGAGCTTGTGCTGAGCAGGTCCAAGCAGACAGCTCCACCTCCTTCCCAGACTCGGGCTATTCTCAACCTGGGACTCACCTCTTAGACCCCAAAGCTTCTCCTTTCTTGCAATGCAAACGAGCAGTGGAGAGCCAGAAAATGCCCTCCTGGCCTTGGAATGGGACGGAAAACTGTGGAAACTGCATTAATGCCAAGGCCAGTTAAAAATGGAATGAAGTGAAGTTGGGGCTTTGTGAGATAAACTGTTTTTAACACAGAGATTAACAGCAAGTGCCTGCTGCCCTCCCAGCAAAGGCAGCGGGGAAGGCAAGCTCCAGAGCTGGCTCCCGTCCTGCAAGGAATGTTTTTCCTGACAAAATTCCATGTCACCACTGATTTTTCCTATTAATTTGCTGGGTTGTTTTACAAAAAGACTTCTCGTGTGTCGTGCTTCAGCTGTGACCCAGTTCTGCAGAGCCAAACCCACTTCACGTGGATGAGCAGGCACTTCAGTGCCGGGGAGGCTCCAGCTCAGCTTGCAGGGATTTCTCTATACAAATCAATGGAGGTTGCTAGCTGAGAGGCTAAAACTAAGGCATGGTCCTATGTGAGACGAGCCACCAGCACCCACTTACCATTAGCCTCAAGGAGGCCATTCCCAGGTCCTACTCAGCATCACCTAGTTCCTTTAAGCAAGAAAAGTTAGCAGTGAACTGAGGGTAGTTTATGGTCTTCCTATTACAATAAAAGCCAAGATCAAGGACTCTTGGCTGGATTTAAATAGTCAGTGGTAAAACTTAACTAATGCTTTAACTGATTAGCCCAGGAAAATCTTTGCTCTTCTAGTCCTTGCTTTGAGCCCTTTGCCCCATGAGCCCCTGTGTTCTCCGCTTTATGCTGCGAGCTGCTTTGGGTGCCTCCTGCTCATCCCTGTCCCCTTCGTGTGTGCTCCCCAGGTGGCTCCTTCAGCGAGGAGACAGAGCAGAAGTTCGATCACTTCAGTGGACTCACAAACAACAAGGTGTCCACCCGATAGACCCGACAGAACACCCCACTATTTAAAGAAGCGAGGTTTCCCGAACCACTGCACACCCACCAATCAAGCAAACAATCAAACTCTGCATTAGCCAGGTAAATTATTTCCTACAGATGCCTTCCTCCCCGGTTTAGGTGCTCAGACCACCGTGTGTCTCCTGTGACTACCCCAGGTAGTTAGGAGCAGGCTTTTAGACTCTACTCGGCTCCGTATCTTCACCATTCCAACCTTCGCCACAAAGACTTCTCCCTCCACTCTGCAGCACCATCTTTATTCACAGACATAGGTCCAGGCTGCAGCAAGCACAAACTGTCTTTAGGTGCCAACAACCTAAATATGTCTTTACCATTCATTTTCCTCAAGGCATTAATCTTGGTATCTTTAAGCTCTTTGACTCAAGCTTAAACACACTGTTGGCACAAAGGCCTCCACTGGTGCCACTGCTTCTTGACTGCAGCTAATCCTCAGTGCTCCCATGGCAGGACTTCTTCATTTTAGCAAAGAAATACAAGAAAGGAAAGAAATGGAGCAGCTTTTCTGAGCAGAACAGTGTAAAGCATCATTTAATACTGCAGTGAAACTCGTGTATTCAACAGTCAACTCCCAACACAGTCTCATAAGTGGAGCAGCTAACGCAGAACGGTTCTGCAAGTGGATCAGGGCTCCATGAAGCTACACCTCCCTTGGAACATCTCCAAGACGCTGCAGACCCAATGATGAGTCGGCTGGACACAGTTTCCATGACACAGTAAGCTTTTCACCCCATAGATTCTACATGCATCTCAATATTACCTTCCAAGCTGGATATTCACTCTGTTGTTTAAAGGATGCATTTAGTTAAGGCATTGTATCATCACTGCACCTTACAGAGGTAACTTCATGGCTTTTCTCATCAGGGATCTGGACCTGTGCTGTCACAGACCCACCTGTGTAAGTTGACTTTAAAGGATTTGAACACTTGGTAAATTCACAATGGTGCTAAGTGTGTTCCTCTGTTTGTTTGAGGCACACGTTGCTACAGATCTGCAGACACAGCTACTTGAATAAAAGCCTTTTACCCAGAACACGTTTTACATGCCATTTGTCTATTTCTACTCCATGACCCTTTAGGGACTTGGTCACAATTCCTGGTCCTCAAGTTTTTTCTCTCTATATACAAAAAAAGTAACTGAATACTTAAAGCTGCCCTTTTCAATCCACAGGGGAACTGAAACTGGCTGCATCCAACTTGTGCTCCCCAAAACCTACCTCACAGGGATGTTGTGAGGCTTAAAGAACGCAGAAGGACTTTTGCTAGTGCCTGTCAAGAGTATTTCTGTCATTTATTTACCCCGTGGCCCAGACGGTGGCATCCAGCCTACTGTAAGTTGGAAAACTCCATTTTGTTCTCAAGGTGCTGGACTGTGTAGCAAAAGCAGAGCCTGAGCTGTGTTGGATGCCCTGGTGCTGCTGCCACAAGGTGTCTCACAGCATCTCCTACCACCAGGCTCTGGGAACATCAAAACTGTCAAGCTCTGGTATCCTAATCAGTGTACACCTTGCCTTGCTACCAGTGCAAGGCAGCAAGCACGGGCTCTTTAAACACCATGTAAATAAGGAAATCCCTGAACCTCACCTGCATTCAACGCTTGTCATTTTGATGGGAGATTAACAATAACAACAAATGTAAACATTAAATAGCTTTTTCTGACCCCTGCAGATGCTCTGCTCTTGCTTACAGCTCAGTTTTGGCCAACAAGATACAATTCCCTTCACCTAATGGCTGCTTTTTAAGCATAGAGCAGGCTTTACTGTAAGCAGACTCCCTTTCTGCAAGTGCCCCAGTGTTAACAATCCTTTGAATCAGAGTCCAGCAGCACGCTCTCCATAACAAAGAGCTAACAGAACCCTCACAGGATTTGGCTTCAAGTGCAAGATCTCATTCATAGTAAACTTTTCCCCTTTCCAACTTCAGAAACGATGGTGCAAGTCCGTAAGAGAACACCCCCATGGCAACTCACTGTTCTGCATGCAGTTTAATATCACAGCCATGCTCATCTATACAGCTTTTTGTTTTAGCTGAGATGGTTTATTCCTCCTGGTCCAAGCTCTCTGGCAGGAGCACGTCGGTGCCTGAGCCCTCCTGCTGCTTGTGCTTCAGGCCTAAGGCACGGGTCACGAGCCGCTTGGCCACCGCCGTGTCTGTCTGGGGTCTCTCTTTTGCCACGTGAAGGAGCTCTAGGTACAAATGGGTGAGAAAACATCAAGTTAGTGCTTGTTCAGGAAGTTAGTGCTTGTGCAGGAGCAGGCTGGTGGCTAACCCAGGGGCCTTGGGGAACAGAAGGGCTGATGTCCATTTCCTTTGTTCCATTACACATTCAGCCCAGGAGCACAATCAATCATTCTATGCATTGCCAGTAAACTGCCTTTCCTTTTAGCAAATCCCCCTCCTGCTTTATACTCAAAGATTTTCCAATGGCAGTTCAAAAGCTGCTTGGCTCTAATTAAGCTCGAGCTCTTCTGCAGTGGTGAAGAGAATCATTCCCCATTAGCTTTCAGGAACAGCTTCCCGGCCACCTTCAGCATCCCTGTGAACAAAATGAAGCCACACAGTCCAACCACATAGAACCAAGTTTTTCCATGCTTGGGGATGTTTGAGCTCAATTCAGAGCAAGTAAACCACCAGAAAGCAGCAAGGGAAGAAAAATCTGCATTTCTTAAAGACTATTTGGCTACAGCAGATGCTTTGGGAAAGCCCTTTGGCCACTAACTTCCAGTTTCTGGCAGACACCCTGCTTGCTCCAGTCTCACAAGAAATGAATACCCCAAACCTTTGCCAAGGGCACAGTGGGTTGGATTTGGTGATTTCCTACTCATTTATCAGCAACTGGGTGCAAATCTGTTATCCAGTCAGTAATGAGGCTTGGCTTGGCTTTCTCAGAGGTTTCCTTAGTACAAGCAACAGCGGCAACTCAAAGCTTGGGAAATAAACCTGCCACTCTTTCTTGACAGGAACAAAGGAAAACACTAAGAGATAAGAGACACTGTCAGCTACAGAGCCAAACCTGTGCTTGGAAAATAACTGCTATTGAAATTGAATCCAAGAGTTTAGAGATGATGCTCCCCAGCAGGAGTTTATAACCTGATTCAGAAGTGCTCCAGCACCGAGAATCAGGAAGCGGGAGTGAAAAGAGATTCTGGGGAGTGTGTAAACCCAAATCACATCCTTTGATGTGCCATTGAAATCTAGCAGGCTTTAAAACTCAGGAATTTCCAACTGTGACAGTGTCCCTTGAACCCATTCATACAGAAACTTGTTTAACTGCAGTGTACTGGAGAAGTAACAGCATCATTGTGCCTTCAGCAAAGTCTCTGCTGCTACCAGGTTCATGGCATTTCTTTACTGTGGCAAGTATAACTGATTACAATATGATTTTAAAAGGCAATAAAAGAAATAAACCAATGCTAATGGCTAGCTTAACAATTCTTTTACCTTCACCTGATACTGAACAAAATGACACCAACCACAAAAGGACGCTGTTATTGCTTTGGTCTTCCTGTGCTCACAGCTACAGCTCCACCCCCCTGCTGCACACAACCCTGCACTTCAAGCTTCCCATAAAAGAAGCAAGTCACACAAGAAAGACTAAGCCCGAGCTCTAGCAGCCCACTTAGCTGAAGACAGACCAGAAACCAACAGGATTTGGTGCATTTTGCTTCAGTCCTTGTGTAGCAGGAGAAGAAAAGGGACTGAAAACACACCCACAGGTAATAGCTGTAGTTCTGCTTCCTGTAAGCAGACTGTCATCTCACGCTGCCAATTCATTCTTGTCATCACATCCACCCTTGCTGCTGCACACGGGCACAACCAGCATTGCTGAGGTAGGAAGTTTTACCAGGAATAGGACACAAGTTGGCTGCAAACACTGTTAAGAATATAAATTCATCTTCAGGCTTCTACTGAAGATTCCACCCCAAAGCTCCATGTCCTGCAGTGCCAATAAGGCTCTAAAACACCAATTAACCACAAGAAATACAGCTCCTTAAGATGTATTTCCCCATTTAACATGTCATGGTGACCACTCAGGATGTAAAAGACTGGTAAACCAAAAATACTACTACTACTAAGTAAAACACTGACTTACTTGGTCGCTGAAGGGCCTTGATTTTGGACTGCTTCGTGGCATGGATCAACGGTCGGATCTTTAAAGCAGGATAACGTCGCCCCAGGGCTTGAGATGCTTCAAAGAACAAAGAGTGTTGAAATCAGCAGACTGAGTATGGTAAAAATCAGTACATGGTATAATAACAGTGAATAATTTGAGCTCCAGCAGCTGCTGTGTTATCTCAAGCCCTGTGCTAAAACAGCTAAGCTCATTCTGGTCACCTCAGGCTTACAGGAGCACAGGGAGAGTCCTGTGAAAACAGAGTCATGTTTTAAAAGACAACTCTGACATTATTAGACTAAATAAGAAGGAAGTTACAAGGAAGTTCTTCCCTGGATGAGCTTTAAGGTCACTTCCAACACAAACCACTCTGTGATTCTAAATCCCAAGAGCATAAGCTTTGGGCCTGCTGGATGCAAACACCTCTTGGGATGGCTCAGAGCTGAGCTTGGCTGTTTGTCCCCAAGAAGGCAGGTCTGGCAGCAAGCTTGGTGCTGCCCTGCGTGCCACCATGCTCAGGAGGTCACTGTACCCCAGGCAGGACTTTCTGCCTAGTTAAAGGAGGAATAAACCTGCAGGAGCAATGCAAATTCATTACTAGAAACACAGCACGAGTCACTCCCTATGCAAGAGGTGCCTCGGTGCCCATCCAAACCAGTTACAAACCTGCTGCTCTGGCAGAGCAGCGTTTCCACACCCACCACAGAATTCCAGCTTCTCCAGCTGGAAAAGCCTTTCAAGTTGGAAGCGTGTGGGAAGAACAACGCGATGAACCATGACTGCCTTGGCAACCCAATGCAGGACTCAACACAGGTCACTGCAGGGGCACTGTGCATGAGCAGAGACCTCAGCAGCTCCACAGGGCCCCTGAACATGAACCAAATCACTCTACCTGTGGAGAGGCTGGAGAAGATGCCCAGAGCGTGTGTATCATCAACCCACTGGATTTTGAACCCGCTCTCGCTGAAATGAAGAGACAATGGAATGAAACTGGTTAATGAGAGAAAAACCACTCCCCACACACTAAAACCCATCGACCACCTTGAGCTGTCACAAGGCCTGAAGTGTTTTCAAGCAGGCCAATGGTGCTTTCCAAAGCATTACACCTATTTGACACCAAGGGAAAGAGAAGGAAAGGAGCAGAACATCAGATGTGCCCCCTTCAAGGCCACAATGTGCAATTACCCCCTCAGCTGCCCCCAACAGCTCTCCTCTTCCCTCAGCCGAAAGCAACCTCCACTGCAGGCATTGCTCCATCGCAGCAAATGGAAATAGAACGTGAGGGGAAACACAGAGAGGAGCTTATTTAAAACATAAACCATGGCTGTTAAAGGATCTGCAGAGGGAAGAGTTCCCATCTGATCCACCAGTGATAGCAAGACAGGAGGAGGATGGTGGTGGGAGGAAGACACCCTCCTGCAGACACCAAACCAGTTCAGAGCTGAACCTTTATCACTCACCAGGGCTGAACTCTGTTCTGCTCCTGATGCAGCATCACTCCCTCAGGCACAAGGCTCTGCTCCCTGGATTTACATACTAAATCTGATCTCCAGCAGCAGAATCGAGCCCTTTTTCTTACATAAGCCTTTGCAAGCATGTAATTTCATTGTAATTTCACCCAGGCACCCAAGTGCAGGAACCAAGATGCTCCTAGAAAGCACCTGAAGCCTCACTGACGCCTGTAGGAGTAAGTGCGAATACATCTGTAGCTAACCATGAGAGAGCCCTGAAGAACCAGCTGTGGTTTAAATCCCACATGAGCTGCAGGAAATGTCCTTTAAGGCACAGAAAGAGCAGGACACATGGGCACAAAGGTGAAACTAAGATTCCAGCTCCATCAGGCTGCCTCATGCCAGCGGGAAGGCTGCTCCCTCCATGCCCCTGCTGTGCTCAGGCTCTCAGAGATACTCACTGGAAGT